CACTACTGCGTCACACGTAGGGAGCTCTTGACGGTCGTCCACTTCGTTGGGTTGCTACCTGTGTCGAATATGCGCGGCGGAAGCCACCACCCCGGGTAACCCGGGCGCCCTTGCAGCCCATCACGGTGACCAGGGTCAACGAATTGGTCGCGTTGGACATCCTGAGACCACTGCTGGTCACGTCACGGGGAAATAAATACCTGTTGGTTGGGGTCGAGTACTGCATGAGATGGCCGATGGCGTGGGCCCTCCCGGACCAAACGGCACATACCATTGCCGGTGCCTTTGTGGGGGGCTATGTTCTTGATAAGGGGGCACCAGAGCGGTTGCTCACAGATCAAGGCAGAAATTTTCCCTCGCAGCTACTAAAGGACGTCTGCTTCATCCTGGGCACTAAAAAGGTCCGAACATCTCCATATCATCCCCAGACTGATGGGATGGTGGAGCGGCTTAAATGCACCATAGCGGCCATGTTATCCCAAGTGGTGGACGAAAACCACTCCCACTGGAACCTCACATCGCGTCGGTCTTAGCAGCGTACAGGGTGGCCCCGCACGCAGCGATGGGGTTCTCGCCGTCATTCCTTATGTACACCTATTGAGGTGCAGCTGACGAACATTCCTGCGAGAGCCGACGCATGGGCAAAGGCACTAAAGACCTCCCTCATTTATTTTGAGGGAAGCCTGCCAAGCAGCCCGAGGCCGCATCGGCCACCAGCCAAGGGAGCATTGTACGGATACAGGAGAGGACATTGACAGCCAAGCCCTTTAAAGTCGGGGACCAGGCATGGCTACACTGTCCTCAGGTGCCAGTCGGCCTCTCACAGAAACTGCGCCGACCCTGGAAAGGGCCGGTCAAGGTCGTTAAAGCACTCCGACCTCAGTGCGTCCAAGTCCAACTTGGTAAGCGACGATGGTTTGTGCACCCCACCCGCCTTAAGCCATACATCTCTCCACCTCCATCACCACCATCATCATCATCATCATCGCAATTGTCACCGCCATCATCATCACCCTTACCCAGGCCAAGGCCGCCGGCCACCACTCGCCAACATGCAGGGGGTTCGGTGCCCTGTGTTCCCTCTTCACCTACAGCCCCCCCATGCGAGGCATGACGGAGAGGCAGCATGACTGGGGGTCGCAGGGGCTGGAGAGATGGCAAGATGGCAGCACCGGACAAGGTGACACCGGCACCACTGAACCGGAGACCGCGACGAGAGGGCCTCCGGAGGAGGGAGCCGCTGCGGTCATCTGCGGCCTGTGGATGTCCGGGCTGTTACGGGGCTCTGGCTGGAGACCCGGGCAGACTGTTCAATTGATGTTGTTGTTGTGTTATATTAAATTGAATGGTTGCAGGGGGGTTAAGGCCTGTCGTCACTGTAAGTGGGGGAGGGGGGTGGGAGCTCATGGGGAGACTTCAATGGTCGATGGGGTAGGCAGAACCGAGGACTTTTTTTTCCCGGGGGGGGGGGGGGGAGGAGGGGGAGTGGGACAGTTGACAGTGGAAGGGAGAGGAGCAGGCTAGGAGATATAAGAGAGTGAACTGGTGGGAAAAGGGAAGAATTGGCGGTAAGTGGATCGAGAAGGCTTGCAACGAGAGTGGGCTGGGGGAAGCAATAAAAACGAACCCTTTTCAACCTTGTGTCGGCTCTCCTTTACAAAGAGATAAAATGTCTCTGCTGACTTTAAGGTAATCAAAGCACAGAATCAAATATGTAGCAGCAGGTAGTAGGCAGCAGGCAGCAGCAGCATGGCTTTAGAGCCGCAGATGTGGTCATAGACCAACTTAGTTCTTTAATCGTAACCCTCCACCACCCGACACGGCCAAACAGTAAAAAATGTGTCACGTTTACAAAGGACAAATAGTTCACTACTTTAGCCCACCGGTGTGTTGAAGAGTGAATCAACATCATTTAAAACTTGAGTACGACGTTTCGCTGGTAATTACATCCAGCATCAACGGGCAATTCGACAAAATGGTAAAGCCATCACTTGCTCCAAGTCTTAAATAGAGCAGCAGGATGACGTCGTAATTTAACTCATTCAGGTGCAGTGATATGAGGCGGAGGGGGGGGTATTGTAATTATATGATCGATTGGTAATCAGTCAATGGTTATGATTAGTAATTAGTTATAATGTGTGTTATTGTGATTATATGCTACGTTAGTAATCCGTTAATTATTTTTCCCCTATAAGGAATTGTAATATGTATTATTTAATCATACGCTTCCAAGCCGCACTAAGCCTGTAGCTGTCAGAGCGATTAAAGTTATTTCTATTTCTCTCAATGTCAATGGATTCTCTAATTAGTCTTTGCCAGTAATAATTAGTTTTACACAACACTTCAACGTTATCAAAATCAATTGAGTGTCCTTGTTGACAAGCATGTTCTGCCACTGCCGACAGTTGTGTTTGAGATAATTTAATATTTTCTTGGTGTTCTTTTAGTCTTATGCTGATGTTACGTCCCGTCTGTCCAATATAGCATCTGCCACATAAACAATTAATCCGATATACACCTGTTGATAATTTAGGTAATTTGTCTTTAGTGCAAGATACTAGTTTTTGAATTTTGTGTACTGTACCAAATCCTACTGTAATGTTTTGCTTTTGCAAAACACGGGCTAATTTGTCAGTTACTCCTGAGATATATGGAATTTTAATTGTTTTAACAATCTGATTGCTTTCGGCAGTGTTGCTTTGCGATCGTGATTTGACATTCAGTGCTCTGTTAATTTGAGTATTATTGTAGCCATTCTGTCGTAATGCTTCTTTAACGTGTTTGATTTCTCTCACTAGACTTTCACCATCTGACACTGTTTTAGCCCGATGTATGAGCGTCTTGATAACAGAGGATTTTTGAGCTGGATGATGATGCAAATCTGCATTCAGATAGGCATCAGTGTGCGTTTGCTTTCTGTAAACGCTGTGTGTTATTTTACCGTTTAGGCCATGTCCAAGCAAAATATCTAGGAACGTGAGTGTGTTATTCACCTCCATTTCCATGGTGAACTGGATGGCCAGGTTTTGTGCATTGAGATGATTTAGAAAATCATTAAGTGTATCTTTACCATGTGGCCAGACAACCAAAGTGTCATCCACATATCTAAATCAAAAAGATGGTTTTAATGTGTTCGAGGCAAGTGCTCTTATATCAAAGTTTTCCATGTACAGATTTGCTATAGCAGGAGATAAAGGAGAGCCCATTGCTGCTCCTTCCTTTTGTTTAATCAAATCCCCTCTCCATAAGAAGTAAGTGTTATTTAAACAATGGTCAGCAAGTTTCGGAATATCTTTTGGTAAACCTGTATTCTTTACTAGTGTATCAAGTAATTTAAGCGATTCGTTCACTGGGACCTTAGTGAATAGAGAATTCACATCAAAAATTACTAGAATATCATTAGGATTAAGTTTAATATCTTTAATCACATTCACAAGATGTTCTGAATTTCTTATGAATGAAGATGTCCTACCGATGTAGGGCTGTATTTGTTTAGTTATATATTTTGCTAATTTATATGTGGCAGAGCCAATTGTACTGACTATGGGTCGTAATGGGATGCCGATTTTATAAAGCTTTGGTAGCCCATACAGTCTAGTGGTAGCAGGTTTAACGAGGTATTTATATTTATGCGATCTAGCCCCAAAAAAACCTCTCCTGGTTAATATTGGTCACGAAAGCCTACTTGTTAAAATAACAGCTGATGTTTGAGGCAATGACCCTTCTTCAGAACACAGGAAGAGACGAGAGCGGTATCCCAATAAAATATCCCAATTCAACTTGTCAGGCTAAAATGCGCATTTAATCACTAGACAACGGTATATGTGGATTCATAAAAAAGGTTTTTGGGTCAAATTCCATAAGTATGAATGTGTCGTAACCCTCCACCACCGGACACAGCCACTAAGGTTTGTTACGTAAACAAAACGCACCAATTAGTTACTACTTTAGCCCACTGGTGTGTTGGAGTGTAAATTCACAACCTTTGCAATATGAGTACGACGTTTCTCTGGTAATTACATCCAGCATCATTGGGCGATGTGCCATGTGCCAGAATCGGCCGATGATGCTGGTTGTGGATTTACTCTCCAACACACCGGTGGGCTGAAGTAGTAACTAATTAGCATGTTTTGTGTACGTGACAAACCTTACAGGCTGTGTCTGGTGGTGAAGGGCTACGACACATTCATACTCGCGCAATATAAGTAAAAAAACTTTATTATCAATAATATTGGACGCGAAGGCCTACGTGTTAGGAGTAGGACAACTCAATCACAAACACGTTCATCATTTCGTGATTTGTACTGCCATGGATGGTATGCTTCCACAAAAGACAAAGATCCCCCCTACAGCCGGCACAGACTATTGGAGCAAGTGCTGTTAGCGAGCGCCTGATTAAGGGCGGCACAGCACACTCGGAGGTGGCGAGTGCCACGCCAGACCACCTTTGTCTCCCGAGTGACGATATTTAGACATCGCATCAGGTACTCGGTTGAGGCTGAGTCGACCTATAGGGGGGAGGCCCAGGACCCGTTCAAATAATCATCACTGCTGGTGGTGGCCATGAGCGGGGATTGAACTAAGGAACTACATTTGTAAGGTTTGTCACGTGATAAAAACATGCGAACACACCAATGTGCTGTACTAGAAATTAATTGGCACGTTTTGTTTAAGTGACAAACCTTACTAATTGTCCGTGTCGTATGGTGGCGGATTTAACGACACATTTATATTTACGTGATCTAACCCAAAAAAATTTATTTTGGATAATTTGCTATATAGGCTTTCTTTTTTAAAGAAACCGTGTTATGGATTCATGTGTTCAGTTTTTTTCTTCAGTTTTTTGGTTATTTGTGCTTTTGGACCACTGTCAGTGTCAGCGCACCTCCGATTAGTGTGGGTTGGCTACATATGGTGTGAAAAAAGTTCAACAATAAATACGTACATTACCATCCTAATTTGTTTAGAAATACCATATTGTGATGTCACCAGATGCCTAAATGAATTTGAAGTTCGTTTAATACAAATACCTGGTGAATTGATAGTGTAACTTCATATGGCCATGACGGGAATGTATTGGCTGATTTGCAATGCCATATTCGCAACATCTTGTAGAAATATAATCCTGTTCCATTCGTCCCTAAAGTACATTTGATGAATAACGGATCATACGAGGTTTTTCTTTTTCTCTACCCATATTTGGACAAACCGATCACTGATTCTTCCTTCGTGGCCAACGGCGATGGCAACTCAAATCGTAAGACAGAGACTACCTGCTTACCCAAGTTTGTGCGCTCTGTTAACAGAACGATCTTCATGAACACTGTTCTTTTTCTTTAACATACTCTCTATCACTTTGGCACTGTCATACCAAAATTAACGCGTTTACAGTTGTGACCATTGTCCGCAACATTGTCCAGGAATATCATTAATTTGCAGAGTGCCGGAGTGTGAGGGCAGACTTCTGCCCATGACGTCGCCTTACCTTCCTGGATGTCCAAGTAGGTTCCGTGATTATCAAAGTGAACCAAATTGTTGCTTTGCTTTGTTGGCCGCTCGAGGATGTCACAGTGGTAGACGTTTTTGTCGACAGGCCTCAGGTCGCTGATGCTGATGTTAGCCTGGCCCTTTCCAAGGTCTCCCACGAGCCCCAGCCGGTCCGTGAAAGTCCCTTCAGTGAAGTTCGTCTCGCTCGTGAATATGATTGTACTCATGCGACTCACCCTCCACTGCACATAGACCTGGCTCGTCCGATTAGTCAGCGAGAAGACGCAGGGCAGCATTACAGTGCCGCCTTCTATGCCTATGACGGCCCTCTTGGTGTACACTGATGCTCTGCTACCGAATTTGGAGCACTGGAAGCTCACGTCTGCCTCTAAGCGGGCAGCAACAGCTGGAAGTGGAAACAGGGGAATGCATTCGAGGTCAGCACTTTAACACGTACGCTAATTCTTCGTAATACGTTTTTGGAATAGATCGCGTAAATGTAAAATGTATTGCTATACCTGCCACCACCCGACGTGGCCAATCAGTAAGGTTTGTCACCTAAACAAACGTGCCGATTATTTACGAGCTCAGCACCAACCAGTGTGTTGGAGAGTAAACCCACAACATTTACAATTCGAGTACCCTCACGTTTCACCAGTAATTGCAATAACCAGCCTCATCAGGCAATAGCAAGAATTGTGGGGAAATCCTCCCCCTGTTTCGATCTGAAATAGAATTAGATGAATGTGATGTCATCACTTGTGAGACAATTAGGAGAGAAGAGGGGGCCGCTCGAGGGCCGCTCGAGTATACATTAACCCCCCGTTAATGTATACATATACATTGAAATGGATATTCTATTGTGGTTGAGTTATTATTTATAAGCCACTTCGTTGCGCTATCATTTGTGATAGCCAAGTCGCTGCTGAAAAAGAGCTGCACTGCTCAGTGGACCTTACCTTATAAAATAACAATCTAGTTTAGTTTTAGATCTGGTTTGAACATAAACGGTTACCACATTCCGTGCTTTTACATGCGCTTCTGTAGCCGTCTGGAACGTCCTTACATTCTATATTAGGAAGCTGCTGGAGCTATGCACTTTTATATAATCCAGATTTTAAACTCACATTTTTACAGAGCTGTTTTTTGTGTTTAGTTTGTTGTCCTTCCCCTGTACCTCTGATTCGCACGGTTGGCTACGTACGTAGTGAAATAAGTTCAACATACATAAGCAACAAATATTATTAATGTAAAGGGGTCATTGTGGTCAGGGATACGGATGCCACAACACCTCAGCATCACCTTTACAGTTGACCTCTCCGCTGACACGGTTTTCCATTGCTCGCAAACCTCTGGGTGCCACTCTCAACTAAAACTATAAAAAAATATATTTTATAAGGTAAGGCCCACTACTGATATATATATATAACTCTTTTTCAGAAGCAACCTCGCTCAATTAAATGGCTGATATCATCATCGTGTGGACATTTATAGCAGCAACGAAATACTGTAAACGCCGGAGAAAAAATCCACACAACCACAGGGAGAGAGACGCAAACTCTAAATATACAGCAGCAGCAGGCGTCAGGCCCCGGATCGAACCCACTACCACCTGCACATCAGGCGAGGCAGTCAACATCTCCTAGCCACCGTGTTTTCGTTAATGCAATAATTTCATCGCAAACTTCCTTAAATCGTAGGAAATTTAAAATAGAACCTCATGATACATTTCACCTTAGCATTTTATTATTACATAAAATAGCGGATTACACTCTCAGTGCAACTGTATACCAGGTGAGGTAGTTAAAATTTTTATTTTTTATTTTACCAGGAAAGGCCCACGAAGCTTTATAGCTCTTTTTCAGAAGCGACCTGGCCATCCCAAATGAGAGATCAACGAAGTGACTTATCATCATGTGGAAATTTGTAGTAGCCAAATGCTGTACTCTACACGCGCGTTTCTAAATGTGGAGGGAAAAACCGAAGGACCCAAACAAAAAGCCACGTGACCAAACTCAAACTATAGAACAGGTGTCAGGGTCATCATTAGACCTCCGTTGCCAGTACCAAAATATAATAAAAGGGTTTTTCCCCTTTTTTCTGGCAACAAAACTGAAACCTTTTAACAAGGAATCATGTGTGCATTAACCACAATACTTGTGGTCAGTTTCAAGGACAATGCATATATTATTAGAGTGTGTTTTTTGTTACCAGGCGCGGTGCTTCTCCAATGTAGAGCGGATGAAGCTGTATGCCCAAATGGTCAAATTCGTTGTATTTATGTGCATACAGTATTATGTATGTTTTTTTTATGTTTGTACATTTTGTATGCACGTTATGTATGTTATCTGACTCCCGTGAAAAACAAAATCATCTGCTAATCAGATCGTCGCATTTAAACCGTCGCGAGACGCACGCGCGCCTGAATCCGTGCGGGCTCGCGAGCCGTGCGGTGCCGTGCAAGTGGGGAGGGGAGCCGTGCGGTAACTACTCACCACCCTGCGCCCCGCGCACCCACAGCCCCAGCACCACCATGCACGCGGCCAGAGGCCCCATTTCCGCTTGCCTCGGCAGTCTGCTATCAGTGGTCGCTTGCACGTCTCCCTTTTAAACCCGGGCGGTGGGGAAATCGGAGACGTAGACAATCACGGGAGGCGTGGCGACGTAAAATGTAACGTGGCCGGGCGGTGGTGGCTATGTACCCGTGGTGTGCCCCGGTGGCTAGAAGATGTTATCTGTCTCGCCTCGTATGCAGGAGGTCGTGGGTTCGATCTTGAACCTGACGCCTAAATTTCGATTTAAAGTTTTCGTGACTGCAATGATTCATCTTCTTTGGTTCTTTCGGTAAAGTCACGTAGAATGAGAATACAATAATAAATTGATAAAATAAAATAACACAATAAAATTCTCACGACGTTACCAGACAGTCTCGTCCCTTCACCTGATGAAGGCCGCTTGTGTTGTGGCCGAAACGTCGTGAGAATATTATTGTGTTATTTTATTTTATCAATTTATTATTTTATTCTCATTCTACGTGACTTTACCGAAATAACCAAAGAAGATGAACCTGACGCCTGTTGTACATTTGGAGTTCGTGTCTCTCTTTCTCTCCATGGCCGAGTGGATTTTTCTCCAGGTCCTCCGATTTTTCCCCTCCGCATTTAGAACCAACATCACGCATTTAGAGTACCCGGTGCGGTACGTAAACATCGCCACCATGGTGCTGGCCACCCACCCCCTCGTGTGCCACTACGCCGGCCTTCATATGTGCTCCTCGCTAACAGTACTTGCCCCAATAGTCTGTTAAGGCTATACCGGGGATCTTTGTCTTTGTGTTGTTATCTGGCTTTGGAGAGGCCAGGAGATCGATGATCGGTAGTGTTTAGTGTAGTAGTCGCGAATTTTCACTGAGCGACGACAGTGGGCCGCGCGTGAAGGCTGCTGCCATCTCTCACTCACGGTCCACCGCTAAAGCTGAATGTGAAATTGTAGCCGTTGCTCTGCATCTTCGTCAGCCGTACATAAGAAGAGACTCATAGATACCAACCCAGACCCATAGAGACGCACAGAGACCCATAGAGACTCACAGAGACTCGTAGGACCCACTGGGACTTACAGCGATTTGTGGAGACTCATACCCCAAGACTCGTGTAGACCCAGGCTCAGAGACCCAGAGATTCATAGCCTCATAGAGACCTATAGAAACCCATAGAGACGCAAAGACCCATAGACTAATAGAGGCATCACGATACATTGCTGCTGACGCGAAGTTATCTGGCTTGGCCACCTCAATGTGAAATTGTAGTCGTTTCTCTAAATCTACATCAGCCCCGTACGACAAGAAGAAGAGGGATGGAGGAGGTCACTGGACAGACCCAGGTGCCATGGGGTTGACTGCTGTGCCAGGCTGGGTGCACGAGGAGGAGGAGGCCACGAGAGAGACCCGGGCGCCATGGGGTTGACTACTGTGCCAGGCTAGGTGCACCAGGTGGAGGTCACGGCCATGTGCCAACAAATATCTGAGCCAGTCATTAGCCTCCCCCACCCCCGTCAACCCACCCTTCATATGATATACCCACTTCATGTGACATATCTTTTGTGATGGCCAGGTCGCTTCTGAAAAATAACATCATAGCTCAATGGGCCTTACCTGGTAAAATAAATTGTTCAGTTTTATTTGTAATTTGTTTAGTGATTTGTTTACCATTCCTATAATTTGCACTCCTATCTTGTTTTTGTATTGTTTGTTGTAACTTTTTGACTCATCCCTACTGGACATCTGTGAAAGAGCTTGATAGCTCATCGGATTCCTCCTGCAGTATGAATATTTTGATTCAGTTGCAGCGAATATCTGAATCAGTCAAGAGCCTCCAGTAGATCAAATATCGCTTATTTCGATAATTTGGCTGCGCTAAACTTCCACATGATGATAAGTCCACTTCGTCGAGCTATCATTTGTGATCAGTATGATCGATTTGTTTGTGGGGAGCGGTGGTGTAGCGGTTAGCACGCTGCGCTACAAACCCGGCAACCCGAGTTTGATTCCCGCTCACGACCACCAACACCAGTGACAGCGATTATTCGAGCCGGTCCTGGGCACCCCTAGGTAGACTCAGCCTCAAAATGAGTACCTGGTGCGGTGTATAAACTCTGCCGATAGGGAGACAAAGGCGGCCGGGCGTGGTGCTGGCCACCCACCCCGTCGTGTGCCACAGTGCCGGCCTTCATAGGTGCTGCTACTCGCTAACAGCACCCGCCTCATCAAACTGTTAAAGGCTATACGGGAGATCTTTGGCTTTGTTTAGTTTGTACTGTATTGTTCCCACTTTTCTGGTACGCATTGTTTCCTTCCTCCTCTCGTAGCTAAAGAAACCCCACAAACGCAGTGGAACTGGCATTGCATCGTACCAAATCCTCGCAAAACGCTGAGGAATTACTCACGGAGCGCAGGTGCTCGCGCGGTTAGCCTCTTGCAGGGCTGTAGAGGCAAGCGATGTTTATGACACACCACCACCACCACACCACGTGACTCATTTGAGGCTATCACGTAAAGTGTCGAATACTCGCTGCTGGCAGGAGGAGGAGGTCACGGGACAGACCTAGCAGGTGCCATGGGTTGACTGACTGAGATGACTGAGATGAATGGCAGATGCACCAGCTGTGCCCCGATTGTAGCAGCTAGCTGCGTTTTAGCCGCGACTGCTTACAACTACCCAGTAGCTGCAGCGTCGTCAAATTGGCATCACAAACACAGCAGCATCAATAACATCTCCCCTTACTGCTGAGAAAAATTGGCAGGACTCTCTTGAAACGGAGCCTTGAGACTTGGTGAGGGTTTCTTGGTTAAACAAGGGGGTGCTGCAGTGGCTAGGATATGTCAACTACCTCGCCTGGTGTGCAAGGGGCCGTGGGTTCGATTCCGATCCTTGACGTCTGTTGCATATTTGGAGTCTGCGTCTCTCTTCCTCTCCCCGTGGTCGCGTGGATTTTTTTATCGGGGTCCTATGGGTCCCCCCCCCCACATTTAGAATCAACGTCACGCGTTTGGAGTATTTGGCTGCTAAAATGTCCACGTGATAAGCCACTTCGTTGAGCTATCATTTGATTATGGCCAGGTCGCTTCAGACAAAAGAGCTACATTGCTCAGATGTCCTTACCTAGTAAAATAAAAAGTAGTTCATAATTAAGCAGGGAAGAAACATATATTGTACATGCAGCCAACGACTTACGAACACCCGACTGACGAATGGGGCTCGGAACCCATTCGAGATTGAGAACTCATTTTTTATAACTGCTTCTTATTTTCGGAGTTGGCTATGTACAGTGCGAAAGGAGTTTAATATAATATATACAATCTATATTCTTTGGTTCTTTCGGTAAAGTCACGTAGGTAGAAAAAAATAATAAAATAAAAAATATATCACGACGTTTCGATCGCAACACAAGCGGTCGTCCTCAGGCGGAAAAAATAATCCAGCATTGGAACTGCTGAACCAGAAAGAAAAACAGCGAGAGAGCTGTTATAACAAGAGGTTATTCGTGGCGAAGGGCAAGCAGGCAGGGTCTGAGCTGGGAAGGAATTCCATCCCCGCATGCAAGCAAGTTAGTTATTTTAATGGGGGAGCGATTTGGCAGTTATTCAGATGGACGAGTCCATCTATGTTCGGAAAAGAGGAGGGGGGAGACGAAAATAATGGATGCGGTCTGAAAGTCACTGTAAGCGTGAACAATCAATTAAGACCCGAAATGGTTTATCAAATCCTTCCAATGATTGCTAAGCCAGAATTCATCTTCTCGGTTGAAATTGTCTCTGTGTTTGTATATGTGGATAGCCTCATGAACGAATCTCTCATGGTAGCCAGATGGCTTGCAGAGAACCTCTGTCTTGGAGAAGTCAATGTCATGTGAGCCTACTGAATTATAACAGTGATCTGCCACGGCCGAGGTGTTGGTCCTACCGTGTTTTAGGTCTGCTTTGTGTTCACGAATGCGGTCCGAGACATGTCGTTTGGTTTCTCCAATGTAACTACTACCACAGAGGCAACTTACTTTGTAGACGCCAGGGTACTGTATGTCCGGAATCACATCTTTTACAGACGGAAACGGATCACGGATTTTATGTAATGTGTTGATTCGGACCTGGATCTTGTGTTTATTCAAGATTTTGGAGATCTTTTTTGTGATCCCCGCAATGTAGGGTAAAGTGATGGTTTTGAATGGCTCCTCAAAAGGGTCCTTCTTCATGGTTGGAGTGATAGCTTTGTGGATTGTATAGTCGGAGTAACCATTAGCCTTAAGAGCTTGGTGTACGTGCTTGAGTTCACTGGCTATGTGTTCCTGGTCGGATATGCATTGGGCTTTATGGTGCAGAGTCTTGATGAGGGAATTCTTCTGGGATGGATGGTGGTGGGAATCCGGTTTCAGGTAAGCATCCATATGGGTAGCTTTCCTGTAGACAGAGTGGCTCATTGAACCATCATTTCTCTTTTTATTAGGACATCCAAAAAAAGGTGTCTTGCCATCTATTTCGACTTCCATGGTAAATCTGATGGCTGGGTGTATGGAATTGATGTGGTCGAAGAATTGGTCTAGAGCAGGCCGGCCATGTGGCCAGATGACAAAAGTGTCATCCACGTACCTCTTCCATGAGGTTGGGCGCAGAGTGGCAGTCTGGATGGCGTCAGTCTCAAATTTCTCCATGAAAATGTTGGCTAGAACCAGAGATAGTGGGGAGCCCATTGGGGTACCCTCAAGTTGTTTGTAGAAAGTTCCATTCCAAGTGAAATATGTATTGGTTAAGCAGTGTCTCACCAGGGGGGGTACCTCAGTGTTTAGTCCTTGATGAACCAAGTCTTCAATGATTGCGATGGCGTCAGGTACAAGAACTTTGGTGAATAAGGAAACGACCTAAAAACTGACAAGCAGGTCGACTGGGGACAGGGAAATACACTTGATTGTCGTTACTAGGTGAGTAGAATTTTGTACCGCAGGGGTGGTTTTTACAGTGAAAGGCCGCAGGATTTCAGACAGAAAACGAGCCAGTTTGTAGGTGGGGGAGATGATAGTAGAGAAAATGGGACGAAGGGGTGTATCAACTTTATGTAATTTTGGTAAGCCGTATAATCTTGGTGGCCTGGCAGCAGAAGGTTTCAACGAGAACTGTTTGGTTTGATCAATTAATGCGGTTGAATCAGAAATTATTTTGTTGGTTTGTATGACAAGGC